TATTTAATATATAATATGTTAACAGATTGGATATAAAATATTCATTGGACTACAGTCAGTGGAATAAACCAGGGTTGTAAAATTACAGTAATTTATAAATTTTGGTGGTAAATTACTAGTAAGTTACCATAAGTTACCGGTAAAGTTACATATATTTTATTCTCAAATTTTCCGTATCCTATACTAGAGTTCTATGCTCGTTAATTCATGAACTTTTCCGATAATTGCCACACTTCCAAGTAGCAATTGTTAATTTACCACCAAATTCATGATAACTTCTTGCCTTATAAGAAAAATGTACCGTATCGGCACGGGTTGACACGGGTCAAGATCCGGATTTATACGGTATAGTTTGAGTTGGTACGGATATGGTGGACCGTGTAGGACCGTATGCCCGTGCAAATTGGACCGTAAGTGGCTCGGGTTTTGCAGCAGTTTACTAGTCGAATTGGCACGGGATTTTAGTCGCGGGTAATAACACGTAAATTTACGAGCCTAGTACGTAAATTCACGAACCTAACCCAGTAACTAGTAACTTGTCATACGTGTTATCACGTATCATTCGAAACGTACCACTTCGTATCTTTCAAGCGTACCACTTCGTATAACGCACCTGCATGTGCCACAGAAAACGTACCATTACGAACATTACCGAAACCACCACGTGCCACCACCCGGATCACTTTTCTTATAGGGTTGGTGACTTCCCACAGTAAGTTACTAATAACAATCCGGAAATAGACAATTATTTTACCTGCTAAAATTCTCTGACCTAAAGCCTCTAAAACTTCTTTTCGCAATTTACTATCCAATAAATCAAATATTGGACAAATTTCATCATATTCAATTATTTTCCATGTTCGAAAGTCATCAAGCGATTTGATCCATTCTGGTTCATCTTTATAAGTAGTAATATTTCCACCGATAACACGTACGACATGTTCAGATTTTATTGTTTTATTCTCGGTTTCTTGAGAAAGACTTGCATTAGCTATTTTTGCATTTACTTCAACTTTCTCATTTTTTGATTCTTTAAAATAAATAATTTCAAATGAATAAAGTATAGATTTTGAAGAAATCAAACCTTAATAATAACTGTCGCAGATCATAATGAAATCGGATTAAAATGAAATGAGGGATTTCTATTTGACCCTCTAAAACCCATTTATACTTGTTTATTATAAAACCTGCTTCTAAACCCTAATCCTAACCCTAAAAAAATGCTAAAAAAATGCACCCCAAAAATTTGTATTTTTCGGTGGCTTGTCTATTTTACACTATCGCTCATTTCATTTTAATCTGATTTCATTTTAATCTGCCAC